ATTTCAAGTTTTATGTATCAGGATAAAGAAGTTTATCTTCACTATAACTACTATACAGCTACTCAAACTGTAGAAACACTAATGGAAGTCTTAACATCTCCAGTTCACTCAGTGATCACAAACTCTAAAGTCTTTCACTTTGATTATTTACATTCAATCCACTGACCAGCCGCTGACAATAACAATCATTATGTCTCAGTTTAAAGTATGAAGGCCTTGTATAAACTCTGAGTGTTGAAAAGAGAAGTACGAGGGGCCCCATTCTAAGAAATGAGTGACAAGCTGAAGTGATTTGGCTGTTTAGAGCTTATCACATGCCTATACTTCCTCATCTTTATTTCATCAGAAAAGAAAAGCGCAAATAGAGAGTGACTCGGAGGCGGAGCTCCGACATGAATCACTGAATGAACAGAGAGTAGGAGCGGAGCTCTCGTTCAGTTAACGAACTGAGAGGAAGAGCTCCGCCTCCGAGTCACTCTCTTCCTCTCAGTCAGACAGTCAGTGAGTGATTTGTGTACTGAACATACTGAACAGAAAATAAATGTGATTGTTTTAGCAGCTTTCAGTTTGCAAACTGTGGCTTTATCTAACTAAATTCTCAGCTCATTGGTTTATTATTCACCACCGGCTGTTCTCAGTACAATCGCGAGCAGAAATAAACGTTCGGCCGTGTTTCAGCTTATTAAATTCTGATTCACAGACAGAGCTGCAGAGAAGTACTGAATGAATCGGTGAATGAATCGGTGAACGAATCTTTTGAACGAATCACTTTACTGAACTGATTCTACTGATTCAGTACACTGAAAAGAACTGCTTTTCACATCACTAACACACACTTGACTCCCCACAGTCTGCCGCATCAAGTGACGAGGCTTTTGTAGGTTTGGTGATGTAGTAATTCACTCCTACGTAGTACTGTACTCCACACAGCCGTTAGAGTTTTTCAAACGGAAGGGCAGACACTATGCACATTTCTAACACAGTATTTCGAATTTCAATACTTTGTACTCAAATATCGAGATTTGGACTTGGATTGATCCATAACACTACTTAATACTCAAATACAAAGGTTTATAGTTGAAAAAAGTGGTTTTAGGGTTTAGTTACTCTTTAACGAGAGCTGTCTGCCCCCTCCTCCCTAGAGTCGATGCTCATGAAGGTTGCCATGTCTCGGACACTGAAGCTTCAGTGTTTAGCCAGGTCTGCATCAGTCTGGAAACCTTTCTGCCTCTCCATTTTTCAAAAGCATCTCCAATATTTATCCTAGTTATACCTCGTTTCTGCTCACTTTAAAGTTTAAAGTTGTTATAAAACTTCCTCTTTGCCTTACTAATAATAAATGATGACTCATTAAATACTAAATTCAGAGACAACATCCCTCTTTACAAACTGTAATGAGCCCTTCATATGGTTCCATGAAATTTTCAACACTTTTTGTAAAGCTATATGCTGTCAGTATGCAAAAAGAGGAACAACTGACTTGCTGCACCCTGTCCTGTTGTTGAATCACATTCTTGTTGAAGATCGGTTTGCGTCACCTTTCTAATGAAACAATGTTTTTTTTTTGGTCCAGAGATATCTGGGGTTGGTTTCTCTATCTACAGGCTGAAGATATACGTGGTCTCGATCGGTCTGGTCATCATGATGTGTGCCGTCATCAGTGTTCACGTTGTAGATGTTTGGGTTGTATCAAGTCAACTTTGGTTATATTTTTAATAATTATATATAATTATTAATAACAACATCATGAAACTATCTTTAATCACTCTTGGGGACCACTCTGTAATCAGGGAAATATAACCAAAATATCACTCAAATCAGTCTCAAATTAGTTAATTAACAATATTATTAATAATTATATTTATATAATTGAAGGCGTGAAATCTGTACACAAAGCCATCGCACCCAGCTTACATCACAATGCAAATACACCAGTAACCACAAACAACTGCTCTCTTACATTATAACAGAATTTATTAACAAAGCAACATCAATCCAAAATCAATGAACTTAATCAAACAAATAACTATCATAAACTAATCTAAGCAAACAAACATTATCAAGCAAGGCTTGTGGAAGAGGAGTAAGAATGGAGAATGGAGGAGGGGAGAGAGGGGGGAGATGGCGTCGTCTCACGTGGTCGCCCTTACGATGGCGCACACCTAACAAAGACCTGGCGTGGTCTATTGTCTAAAGAGGCCGCGTTTGGCCCTGCACGATCTGTGTATCTGAGGCGTTTGAATGGCCGTGAGTGTAACTTTACTAACAGAGTTTTATCAGCTGGAATAATTCCTAAAAGACTTACAGGACCATTTGATCATTTAACAGGAGCCTGGCACGGTGTCTGAACACTCCCTCTTCACCCACGACTGCAGACCTGTACATGGATCCAACACCATCATCAAGTTTGCGGACAATACAGCGGTGATTGGCCTCATCAGCAACAACGATGACACGGCCTACAGGGAGGAGGTACAGCATCTGGCCGCCTGGTGTGCTGACAACAACCTGCTCCTCAACACCAGCAAGACGAAGGAGATCATCGTGGACTTCAGGAGAGAAAGAGGAAGCACGCACAACCCCATTCACATCAACGGATGGCTGTTGAACGTGTCTCCAGCTTCAAGTTCCTGGGGACCCACATCACAGAGGACCTCTCCTGGTCCACTAACACCTCCAGTCTGGTTAAGAAGGCTCATCAACGCCTCTTTTTCCTGAGGACACTGAAGAGACACCACCTGTCTTCAGCTGTACTGATGAACTTCTACCGCTGTGTGATCGAGAGCATCCTGACCAGCAGTGTCTCAGTCTGGTACGGAAACTGCTCTGTCGCAGACCGTAAGGCGCTACAGCGGGTGGTAAAAACCGCCCAGCGCATCACAAGGTGTCCACTTCCTGCCATTGAGGATGTCCAAAGAACACGCTGTCTGCGGCGAGCTCACGGCATCCTTAAAGACTCCTCCCACCCTGCCCACAGACTGTTTACCCTCCTGCCCTCCGGCAGGCGCTTCAGAAGCCTCCGGACCAGAACCAGCAGACTGAGGAACAGCTTTTTCCCCAGAGCTGTTTCTCTACTGAACTCTACCCCCCAAACTCTGAACTCTGTCTCTGTCTCTCTCTCTCCCTCTCTCTCTCCGCACCCTGCTGACCCCCCTTTCCCCTCCATATCACCTCACACCCATCATCCCCCCACCACTCCTCCTGGTCACACACACACATCTCTCATCCATCTGTATTATTGTATTATAGTATGTTCATATTCTTTAAATTATCTGTAAACTTGTATAACATGCTCACTGCATCTTAATCTGTATATTAGTATAGCATGCTCACTGCATCTTAATCTGTATATTATTAGTATAGCATGCTCACTGCATCTTAATCTGTATATTATTAGTATAGCATGCTCACTGCATCTTAATCTGTATATTATTAGTATAGCATGCTCACTGCATCTTAATCTGTATATTATAATCCTAAGAACACACTTATTTTGTAGCATTACTTATTTATAGCATTTATTTATATTTATTGCATCCCACTAATCCAGCCATCCAGATTTACCTAATAATTCACTTTTTTTGTCTACATCTGTAAATTTTGCAATTACTGTACATAGCACAGACTCTTGCACTCAATTACTGTACATAGCACAGACTCTTGCACTTTCTGCTTATTTGCACTTCTGGTGAGATGCCAAACCTCATTTCGTTACTCTATACTTGTATATGTGTAATGACAATAAAGTTGAATCTCATCTCATCTCATCTCATCTCACTTTTTTCCTTCAATGATTCAAGTTTAAGAATACAACATTTTTCATAGTTTGGTTTCAATCCAGATAAAGAGGCAAAACAATTTAGCTCAACAACAAAACTCCTTTTCATTATTACCATTTGTGGAACTTGTGTTGGTTAATCTCCCACTATTTTTTATTATTGATTTTTTTAATCATTCGCTTCCTCACATTTCTCTTCTATTTGATTTTATTTTCATTGTGTAAAGCACTTTGTAACCTTGTTTTGAAAAGTGCCAGATAAATTAAGTGTTATTAAAAAGTATGATCAGGTCAAATAAATGAGTTACTCATGCATCTGCTTGTTCTGTTTTCATTAAATGTGTTTGTTTTCAGATGGAACTATAAAAGTTCAGTCTTCTTTATGTTGCACACAGGAAATGCACAACAAGTTAAATCCAGACCAACGAGAGAGAACAAAGGAGTGGTTTTAACCACATTGATAGAGAAGCAACAAGACGTAAATTCTGAACTAATACACGGACATAACTACACTTTCCACCCTTCAATGTTGTGAGTTGAAGGTTTTTTTCTCTTGATTTGAATCCTCAAGTTGGATCCTTTTTTCCTTTGAAATGTCTCAAAAACACAAGATGAAACAATGACCTCTGAAGGGAGCAAAGAAAACAAGTTAGAGTGTTGATAGTTGTACTTCTATATGGCAGACAGTGTGAGACAGCAGACAGCTTTCTCAAACGTGACAAACATCAACCAGTCTGCTGCTCTCACACACATTTAATATTCTGTTACCTGTTCTCTTGGCCAATCAGAGAGGAGCTCAGTGACAGATTGACTGAAGATGTGATCAATCACACCTCCTCTGGAATGAATCGAGCAAGATTAAACAAAGGAAAAGATCAAGTTCAATTCATGAATTAGATTTAGTCTTTTCAGAGTCATATTAACAAAGTACATTAAGAGAACTAAATCATTTATATTTTTCTTCATAAACACTGACTCTCGAGTGAAAGGTTCACCTTCCTCTCGGCGTAGACATCAACATTTATCAAAAATAATCTACAACAGGATTTGATCAACCATACTAAAGTCCACTTGTTTATAATCTTTCATCCATTTCGACCTCAGGACCTACAGTAACAAACTCTACTCATCAAGAGAAATGAAATGGAGCTCAGAGAGAAGATAAAAAAAAAGGTTGACATCCTCAAAACTTTCCTCACTGTCAGTGTTTGTGGTTTGACAGAAGAAGTAACACCTCGACAAGGCTCGCTCTAACCCTGTGGTGTGTTTGTAACAGTGAAACAGAACACACACGTTGTGGCATCCAGAACAACAGAGGCTCTATCATGTTCATCTTTATGATTCTGGGTCTGCTGGCTGGCATCCAGGCACAAGGTAGGAGAAGAACATCATCTTATTATTATAATAATGAGAATAATTATTACTTTTAATTTGTGGGGAAAAGGACAAATAACAAAACTAAAAGTTAAATCATGTGATCATCTCCTGTAACTACAGACAGATTAGGGGAAAACAGTTCAACTCAAGTCAAGTCAACTTTATTTATAGCACATTTATAACAGCTGAGGCGACCAAAGTGCTCTACAGTAAATTAGGCAAAACACATTACATCCAAAACATCATAAAGACACGTAAAAGCAAAAATTAAAAGTAATTAAAACACAAGACAATAGTAAAAGTTCTAGTAGACACTGCTGCTGGAAAAACACTCAACTAGAGAAAAAGCCAAGGAAAAGAAATGGGTTTTAAAAAATGACTTAAACTGTTCAGTTGTGGCAGCAGATCTTATTTTAAATGGTAATCTGTTCCAAAGTGTCGGAGCTGCAACAGAAAAGGCTTGGTCGCCCGTAGTTTTGAGCCTTGTTTTGGGCACGTCCAGGAGCAGCTGGTTGGAGGACCTTAGTGCTCTGGATGGAGCATGAACATGTAGTAGTTCACTTAGGTTATGAGGTGTTGAGCCATTTAATGATTTAAAAGCCAGAAGTAAAATAAAATCCTGTAGCGAACAGGAAGCCAGTGGAGAGAACGGAGCACAGGGGTTATGTTGCAACAAAATAAACAGACCCTGTCAATTATTCAGTACTCAATATTCAATATTTAACATTTCACTAGTTGAGGGTATAATCTCACTTTTTATTAGAGAACAGGAATGAGTCTTTTCAAAAGAAACAGTTTCACTATTTAATTTATTTAAGACAACTCAGATTTATTTTTGAAGTTTTTATGTTCGGTAAACATAATACTGCAAGAGTGATGCAAACAATGTAGTATATTATAAAAAGATGTAAGCTAACTGTTTTCCCGGCCACTTGAAAAAGACTTCTCTGCTCCGTCTAATTTACAGATCAACATGAAGTGACCTCAGGTTTGAATTCATGATTACAAATAAATATGAGCTTCACTTGCGATACATGATTTTATCAGTTTGTGTGTTTGTATCTGTAATAAATGTAATCTAAGTGATGACATATTAAGAAAGAGGGACAGATTTTAAAGAATTTGCATGAAGGAATGACAAAGTGGAAAACCTTTATTACAGTAAATGTTTCAGTGTCTTTGTATATATTTATAAAAGTTTGAGACTTAAAACAGTTTCACTCTGAAAGCACGCTGATGAAGCTTCAGTGTTTTAAAAAGAACCTGGTTCTCTGAAATAAGAGGAAAAAAATGCCTAATTTTATCACTGAGCACAAGATAAGATATCCATAAGACGAGACGAGACAATAATGTATTTGTTTTCACAGCTTTGAGTTCTTACACAGGTGTGAGACGAGACGAGATAAGATAAGAAACTTTATTTATAGGGATATATAGTAGATGGCTCCAAAATTAGAGCAAGAGAACAGTGTAAAAAACACAACAGAGAATTAGATCAATTAAAATATAAAGTGTTAGAGGGATAAATGCAAAGAGACAGTACCTAACAAAGCAACAATAATAAGTATTCTTCCCGCTCCTTTTCAAACATGTAACTAGATTTTTTTGTTTTCTTACGCACGATTCTTTTATAGGTTTGTTTGTTTTGTTTTTTTGACAATAAAAAAGAAAGTACATGTTTGAAATAGAGACTTCAATCAATCAATGCAATTAGTGATGACCTGGTCATTAATTATATATAATTAATAATAAAATATATGATATATAAATGTATTAATGTGAATGTAAGTCCAAGATTCATTCCTGTTTTAGGTTTGTGTTTTTAACCTTCAGTCAGGTGATCATTTTCTGTGTTTGTCAAGAACTTTAAAATACAAGTAAACAAGTGATACATTGTTAACATGGGAATATTAATTGAAGTTTTTTTTAACCAAACACATGATTTTTATTTCTCTTCTCTCTGCAGTGACTCCTGTGTTTGTGAGGACAGGAACAGATTTACGTCTGGAAGTGAAGAAACCTGTTGTTCTGAAGGAGGCAGATTTATTTACATGGAAGGTCAATGGCAGTGTTAATGTTGTGAGACTAGCTCATGGTGGTAAACCAATTATTTCCCCAAATTATACATCAAGAGCAGAATTGTCTGCACAAAATCACTCTCTACTGTTAAAGAACGTACAAAAGAGGGACAGTGGAGTTTACAGAGCAAGTGTTACTGCTGACAAAGACATCACTGTAGCTGAATACAGCGTCACAGTTCTGGGTACGTTTCTTTAATTTGAAAATGTTGATACAGAGTCGTTCCCTGTTTTAAAAAAAAGTCATCACACTTGCTTTGCTTCCTGCAGATCCAGTGTCTGGAGTGAAGCTGACAGTGAAACTCTGCAGCTCAGACTCCACTAAGGTCACAGTGATCTGCAGCACTGAGGACTCTCTCATCAGCAGCACGTTCACATGTGACACACAAACCTGCTCTCACGAGGGAGGAGAGCGAGCAGAGATCATCACACCTGGTGCTTCTCTGGACGTCTACCTGGAGAACGGCTCAGCCATCTGTAACCATGGCAACCAGGTCAGCTCTACCAGGGACATCCAAAAGATTGAAGATCTTTGTAGAAAGCCTGAAGGTAAGAGTTCAAAACTACAATTTGATGCTAATAACCAGTGTGGATTGTAGCCTAAATAAAAAACAACAGATAACATTTTAATGATTTTTTCTCCAGATTTTTTTATAAAATAATAATAAAATATATTATTAATATTGCAAGAAAGAATTGCCTAGGAGACAGACATAAGGTCACGATTAAAGACCAACCAATGTTGACATTTTCATGGCCCAATTTGTAATGCAGAGTTATCTCAGTCCATGATATTTTTTAATAAACAGAAATCATTGAATGTTCCAGAAAAAAAAATATTGATTTGCTATATCAATTAACTATGGCTTAACTATGACTGTTAAATAGGCAAGATCATACATTTTCTTTTAAAGTTGAAAAGATCACTGACATTTATTCTGCACTATGACTTTAATGGTGTAACTCTGACACCTAGTGTTTAAAACGGGTACTGCAGTCCAAATCCAAAACATTGGAGAGAACTCTTTCTGCGTCCTCCGTAGATGAAGCGATGCATCTAATCCTGTCCTGAAGTTTCTAACAAATCTCCTCCTCTCTTATTGTCGACTCATGTTCTGTTAAACTGTGGCTGGTAAAATGTCAAAGGATCTTCCTGTTTAGATGTAAAGTCAGTATGCAAAAAGAGGAACAACTGACTTGCTGCACCCTGTCCTGTTGTTGAATCACATTCTTGTTGAAGATCGTTTGCGTCACTTTCTGATGAAACAATGTTTTTTTTTGGTCCAGAGATATCTGGGGTTGGTTTCTCTATCTACAGGCTGAAGATATACGTGGTCTCGATCGGTCTGGTCATCATGATGTGTGCCGTCATCAGTGTTCACGTCGTAGAGAAGCTTAAGAAGAAAAGATAAACAACCACCTCTCCCCCAACAATCCTCTGTGGAGAGTTTGACCACTAGTAGCACAATGAAGCGACTTGTTATCTTTTTTTGACTGAACATGTGTGACCTTGTTGTGTTTAAGCTGTGTGTATGTGAGTCTGCAGGGGGCACGGTGGTATATACACACTTATTTCACAGACTTCATGCTATTCCACTGATGGACTGTTGGTGGCGGTAAAACACAGAGAAATGTAGTTTGAGGAGGCAGAGGAAGAATATCTGCAAACATGGAAGCAAATAATAAAGAGAGTAAAAATACCTGTACAATTCTGCTTTGACTTCTAAAGTTTATTAGGATAGAAGTGACTCAGCACTTTTGTAGAGCTTCATAGACATATTATAAATACCTTTTTATTAATCAATAAAATGTACGTAAATATAAAGCAATTGCATCGTTTCTTTACTATACACACAGTTCATCCATCACACAATACTATTATTTTAGAGGATGTTGTCTGGAGAAAAACATAAAATGCAGTATTTGTAATGTCGTTTGTCCAATTTACAATATTATTAATGATAATTATAAAATATTAATCAATGATATTTCACAGTATTTGTCCAAGCATCATATTGGACCCTCAGTAATAAACTCTCACTCTATAATATGATGTGAAGCCTCCTTTCTGGACCTTCAGTAATAACAAAAGCATTGTAAATATATTGTACTCATCGATATATTTGATGGATAATGGCTAATAGGTGAGAGAGTTTGATGTGTTTGGTGTTAATTCACTTGTTTTATTGTTTCTTTTCGCTGACATGAAGTTCAGTGTGAAGCAGTAAACCTATTCACTCATTCTTTAAATGTCTGTTAAAGCTCCTGTGAGGAGTTATTAACTGGTTATGTAACAGACTGAGATTAATACTGATGCCTCTTTATGAGCTACACAAGCTGAGGAGATCATCATGGACAAGTCACTATGGAGGAGGTGTCAGGCCAAACTTACCTTTTTTACATTCTGCATGATAAATGTTCATGTTGAGTGATACATTTGCTTTAAAATAAAAGCTGGATGAGATTTCTTTTATTTTCTTTTATCCACAAGGTGCTTTAAAGTTGACACAAACCAGAAGATCCTCACTGTAACTTCAAATTAAAAAGGCTTTATTCACATTAAGGTTTAAAGAAACATTTGATAAGAAGCATCAAGATGATCAAATATTAGCAAAAACACAAATTAGCAATAAATTATGTAAAAAAAATAGAACGTAGCATTTGAAATATATACAGTAAATTATTTAAAAAATAAAATATCTACATCAAAACAGTTCTATTGTATGTGTCAGCTCTCTGGCTGAGCGTTGTCTCTGGGATGAGTGGGTGCTTCAGAGACGATGGGAGGCCAACGAGGAGTAGATGTAGGGTGGAGGACCAGCTGGGGCATCATTTGTTGGTCTCTGCTGCAGAGGAGAGGTCTGTATTCACAGCCTTTAACACAACATAAGAATGGTTATTTAGACTTCTTGAAAAGCATGCTAGTACAATTTATCACAGAAAGCTACTGCTACATTATTTGTCTGATTTGTGACTGAGAAAACATCCCACAAAGACTCAGTTACAGTCAGGTCATTAAAGGGATACTTCACCCATTTGCATTAATCTTTGTATCATTAGAAACCTGGTAGTGTTTTTGAATGGTCGTGCATCCCGCCCTCATTTTCCCCTGAGATGGGAAATCTTTGTATTTCTGAGTCTGAAAAGAAGTTTCCAGTGACGCAAAATGACGATTTTTGTGTCACAGGAAGCTGCTAGCGGTGTGAAACTACAACGCTAGTTCCTCATATTTTCGACCACTGAAGCTACAGACCAATCACAGATCAGTGGGTGGGAACTCACTCCCAGAATCGAAACTTAACGTCCGCCATATTGATTGGAAGCTATGCTAACAGGCTCTATGGAGAAAGCTGATAATGGCGAGAAAATACAAATATAGCGGCGAGACGGCTGCTAACCGCTAGGCGCTGGGGCCGCCACGACACAAGACCGCTGGCCGCTGCCAGCTCAGCAGCCGAGACATAAGGCCTGCCTGTCGGCGGCGGTGAGGACGAGGACCCCGGGCCGGCTCGAGTTGGGGTGGACTGGTAGTGTCGGTGCTCTCACTGTTTGCCTATGGACACAGACATAGAGTCTGTTTTCTGTCAGGAATTTCCAAGATCAATTCTGGAAGAAATCTCTGAATCAGTTGAGGAAATGGTCTTATGTGTTGAAGTAAATATGTCTGTAAATGTTTTTATTACTTTATTTCTACTGCTATATTTTATATGTTGGAGAAACTGTATTGATAGAATTTCCCTCTGGGATTAATAAATTATTTCTGATTCTGAACTAGAAGACCTTAGTGGGAGTGGCCTGTGGTGCTGTGCATTCTGGGATTTGGTGTCTTTCATCCACATGAGCCAAAAAGTCACTTTCTGCCTTTCTGCCGGCCAAGAAGGCACCAACTTCAAAATGTATTTCACATTTCTACAACATATATGACCCAATGTCAATACAGATTCATGTTTCAACGGGTGAAGTATCCCTTTAAGTTCTGTGACTGAATTTGCTGGTTTGATGTCGAGCAGAAAGCTATTCGGTTCAACCTGCAACACAGAACCACAACACCCCATAACTTCAAAGGTTTAATACATTTACAACTGTTGGGAAGAAGTCGTCATGGATCTAGAAATGAGCTGTGGTTTTCTTTATACCAGCCTGTCAGCACTTAGTACAAACGGACATTTTAATATGGGGTGGAAATGGGTATTTGTCAGCCCTCAGGAGCTGCAGTTTTGGGCACTTCCACATGGGCTTTATTTTCAACACTGGCCTGATCTCAATAATAGTACACAGACTTTTGAGCCCACAGCACCTTGCAGAACCTGCATTTGTTGTTTTTGCAAAGACGCCACTTTTGTGAAGTTGCAAAAAATGAGGGGAAAACAAGTTTCAAAAAACAAGAGCTAGTGAGGAATTTGAAAACAGTAATGTCTCTGGCCTGTCTCTTCACATCAGTTCTCAATCATTAATTTGTTCAAGAATTTCTTCACTTCTGACTAATTTGGGAAATTGGTATTAAAAAATATTCCTCCTTACTGAGGATCTTCATAGACGTATTTTCCATGTTCTCTGCAGATCAGTCATAAAGAAACATGTTGAAACTACATTAACATTACTGGAGCTGATTCTTTTCTGGATTTATTTGGTGTGATTTTGAGAGTCACTTTTCTACATTGAAAAATGTATTCTGTTAATTTATTAATAGTAATGAATGCAATCAAAATGCATAAACATTTTATAATGGGGCCTCATTTTAATAGTTTGTAAATGATAAACAGTTTTGAATTGCCATCCTCAAATATGTAAATTCATGTGAATTTAAAGTTCTTTACATGTGATTTATTTTGTTAACATTGTAAATTGTTTATTTATTCTAACTCTAAGGTGTGGCTTCTAAGTGTAACTGCTGCGCTGTCTTTATCAGATCGCCCTGATAAGAGGATTCACTCATAAGGGACGTCTTTTGAATGATAATAAAAACATCAACACAGGGGAGAAGAATGTACTCATCTAAAGGGTCAATTCAGTTTGATGTAAACAATAAGGATTTTCTGATTTCACATTTAAATTCAGTTTAAATGCAAACTTAACTTACTTTGTTTTCTCCTTCGATGACAATAATCCTCTAATTACAATTATAGCCAAAACAACAAGGACGATGGCTACAACAATCCATGTAACAATATTTGGGCTTTCAATACTGTAAAGAAAAAAGAAAGCCAGATTAGAAATTCATACTTGGCTGAACTCTTGCAGCATACCTGAGAGTGAACTATAACCACTCAATCTCACAGACCTGATCTGTAGTAAAATATGAAATTGGTCTAATCAACCCTGAATGGATGGTGCCCTAAAGTCACAATTTAAAACTACATGGAAGGATAGTCACCTCCTGGTTTTAAGGATCACCTTAGACATTTCTGACATTGTGTTTCTTTAAATAGATTGTTATCTCCTTTGGTGACCTGTTGTTACTGGCATGTAAATGTAACTGTTTACTTTGTCTTGACTTCTTTTAATAAGACTCTAAAGGCTGTGAGACTGAATTGACCATCAGGGATTAATAACACATCTGAATCTCATAAAATTAATTCATTGACAGTTTTTAGCTTTTAAACAATTAATGCTAGTCCATTTATATGTCAAATAATCTCTGCTTCATTTCATTTTATAGGTTAGAGGGCGTAATCACAAACAGAGAGGGAACAATGAATGACTGAAATGAGATGGATCGCACTAAGGCCATGTTTAGAAGAATGATGAACATGATGACTGGTTTGGTCTTTGTTTTCTTCTTGTGGTTTTTGTTAATGGTCTGTCATGTGTACGTTTATATTTTGTGTGTGTTGTTTAAATGTTATAAAAAATACTATTTTGACTTGTTTTTTTTAAAGCTAATTGATTAACAAACTATCACTGATTAGTCTAAAATCATGACAATGTTTCTGCTGAAATTATTTCTTCAGAATTTATGAACAAAATGATCTCCTACCAACAGCTGAAACACAATGGAGAATATTTATATCATTGTTTCATCAACAACAACAAAAAGCATCAGTTGTTTTTTATTTAGGCTACAATCCACACTGTTTATAAGTGTTAAGTTGTAGTTTTTAACTCTTACCTTCAGGCTTTTTACAAAACTCTTCAATCTTTTGGATGTCCCTTGTAGAGCTGACCTGGTTGCTATGGTTACAGATGACTGAGCCGTTCTCCAGGTAGACGTCCAGAGAAACACCAGGTGTGATGATCTCTGCTCGCTCTCCTCCCTCGTGAGAGCAGGTTTGGTTGTCACATGTGAACGTGCTGTTGATGAGAGAGTCCTCAGTGCTGCAGATCACTGTGACCTTAGTGGAGTCTGAGCTGCAGAGTTTCACTGTCAGCTTCACTCCAGACACTGGATCTGCAAGAAGCAAAGCAAGTGTGA